TAAGTCAAACTTCCTCTTCCACACTCCTTTAGTAACAAATGGACTAATTTTTCCTTTTGAATAAATTCTCAACAGACATCAACAAATATAGTACACAAGTAAATGACTATTTAAGAGTTTCCAACGTATAACCTTTGTGTCAGGGTACCTTTTGAGTACATGGTTTGGAGGTCCACCTAAATGATAAATGTTTCCATAGCCTGCATACTTGGTGAACCTTAGATTCCAATATTTAAGATGCAAGCATAGTTTGGTGGTTCAACCACAAATGTGTAAACATCATATTCCAAACTTGGGATGTTTTTCCATCTTACTAGCATGCTAAGTAGTTCAAAGATTGAGATTATGAGAACAAAGACCAAGTAAAATCAACTTAAAATGGCTTTAAGCTCAAAGAATATGAACCTGCATCCATTCTTTCTGCGTCCTCTGTTCACTCGCTTAAACTGACGCACCAGTTTGCCAAAAATGGCGACCAGAACAACGCACAACCACGTGATCGTCTTCAAAAACGTCAAAAATGTCTTCCCAATCACTATCACAGGCGATATTATAGTCTACTCTTCATAATATCTTTGCTCAAAATTAAGAAGATGTTGGCAACTCATGATTGCATGAAAATAAACAACCTAGCTATATCATGAATCTTGAAATAATGAAATCTTCTAATCGCAAAATCCGGCACATTTAAGCGAACACAATATAAGAAACTAAAAACTAAGGTCTTTTAGAGTGGAGTTGTTTTTCACCTAGCGTCTATACCCATTAGGCTAAGGCAGAAGTGTTAAAAACAATTACGAACACCACGCTAAGGCAGCATCACGTCCCCTCCTCTCCCATTCGCTTAATGCTGTCAATCACTGTTTCCAATGGCTAATTTTAAGGTTTGTAAGCAGAAAGGCAAAGAACAATAATACTTCCGAAAACAAAAAAAATGCAAATTTGAATTAAGAATATATATTTTAACTAGTTTTGAAAATCGTCACCACTAACAAGAAAAACACTTAAGATTGTTGGTAATATAAATGCCCTGCGAAGTAAACGGATACTTCCTGTGGCATGATTTGGGACACAGTTAATTTGCTTCTATTTTAAATCTCCTTTTTATCTTATTTTACGAAGATAACCGCTGACATTGTCACAGTCCCTCAACTTTCAGTACATTTACCAAGCCATGAGACCCTATAAAGGTCAACGACCGGTAGAAATAATGACTTTTGTCATTCCACTTATATGTTACCACGCCTCGTGCAGGTTATTCAATTCACTCGATTTATCATTTCCGTACTACATGCGGAACAGTACTATGTTTGATTAGGCGAGCATGAGGTGGAAGCCAAATGAGTAGTGAACAAATTATGGCTCTTTCCTCAACTCATAACTACGCACTTCCTACCCCGGTCGGTTCGTGTTTGAGCTGTTCTAGTCTCCTCAGCGGGGATCGACATTCCTCTCAAAATCAGTTGAATGTTTTCCCTTGAATGGTTATTATACACTTCGCACTACAACTCAATTGTCACAATGATTCGGCGAAAATTCTTCTGCATAAGTGGACAGGTGACTTGAAGTGTCGGTAGACGAAATCAAACAATAAGTTTATTTCTTAAGTTTAGCAAATTGAAGACAACTTTAGGCAATCAAACCAATTAATGCATTTTGAAAAAAATCGCACAACCCGATAAACCTGATTGGGTACTGCTGAATCCATTTACCAGCTCTAGTGATTACTCCTATTTTATGTATTTAGCCGGAGGAGGTATAAGTAATTGCTAATAACAGCCAGTTCCAATTTACTAAAAGTCTTAACATTCTATTTATAAAGAACTCTCAAAAGCGGCTTCGTCTGTTTAAGAAAGGCTACCCTATTAAAAAGACTGTTAGAATCACTTAATAAAAAAGACTGGTTTGCATTAATATTCATAATCTTGAAGTTTTTTATGAGAAAATTTTGGACGTAAAGTGCGATCATTTAACAATATGTATCCTGTCCCTGATGTTGGCGTTAAAGTTCACTGAAGGTGGTCTTTTCAGTAATTACCCTGTAAATTTTTTGTAGCTGTGGGCTTAGGATTCTGAGGTGCAATTGCATGGAGTAATTAACGGCCTTTAAGTCCGTTGTAAGTGAGGGTCCAGGCCCCTTATTACCACGTGAGCGAGCCTTCGAAGGGTTCGACGATGTCCATTTGGGACCCAGATTTAAAATATCAGTTAGAGGTGTACCGCCTAATTGAGGATCTCGGTCAAATTGAGGAAATATAATTTGAGGTAGTTTAACGAGGTGGATTAATGCAAGAAAATCTGCATCAAAAGCAGCATTTAATTGTGGTATAACTCTAGGAGAGTATAGTTGATTAAAAATGTTTTGTCTTTTACTATTTTCAGGTCAATGAGTTCTTGCAACTCTTTAATACTCAGCTTAAAGTACGCTGATTAGAAATTTTAAGCAAATAAACTTCTCTTGTTCAATTATCATGCTCATTTTTACTAATTAGCAACATTTAATTCCAAATGGGCTCCCGATAATTTCAAAGAAGCGCTGCATCATGTAGTTCTACCAAGTATCTCAAAATTTTTACCGCTTTGCTCTAATCATCTGACCTTATAATTTGTAATGATGGCTGAAAGCAAAACTTACTCCATTCGCCTTGACTGACAATCCGTAAGAACCCTTTGGGTGTGAGTCTGTCTCCGAAGCGTACTGATGCGCCCCTCGTGAGTCTCTTCCTGCTGTTGAGCCAGTATAGGTAGTTGTGCAAGGCGTGCAGCAAGCCTGCGGAAAGGTGCTGTGGCCATAGACAGTGACAGGACCGCGTTCAGAGAGCTCCTCAGAGCAAGACTCACCACTGAGAGATCCGCCTTCCTCCTCTCCTTCTGCTTCATCCTCACAATCAGAGGGAGTTACCATATGCATTATTAAGGTAGCGTTTGAACCAGCGGATTTCGGACTGTATAGATTTTCCTGAACGCGTGGAATCACTTCTTTCCAGTCATCTTGATAAGTTGAGAACTTGGCTGGCGTTGAAAGACCCTCTTCGTAAAAACCCGATCTAACAGCCTCGCAACTCCAACCAGGTGTGTAATCTTCGTTTGATGGATGCTTTGTATAAGTAGATTGGTCATATGCTACGGGGCTGGGATAAATCCCATTCTCCGTCACTCTAGGTGCTGAAAATTCAGTCATTTCGCTGTAGTAGGCGACATTGGAAGATGCTGGAATAAAGTTAGGCTGAAAGGGACTATTAGAACTGTTTGGTTTGAAGTAGTCAAGCGACATAATCTTCTCCGTAGCCATTAAGAACAACAACTATCTTGTTTAAGGACGTGGGCCGGTGTTCGTGTGAGTCCGCTATTCGCCTCTTGTGCTTATTGGCGCTCATTGGCCAATGAAAAGGCATCGGGAAGCCTCCCGCAGATCGTCCCACTCCGATTGGTGCGTGCGGAAGATGCGCGTCTGGCGAACACGCACGTGCTTCTTCATGTGCACAGGTGGCAGTTACAGACTGCCCAACAGGGTTTGGAGCTAATTTATCGATTTTCTACCTTTGCATTTATAATAAACTATTAAAGATTATCGCATGCAATAGTGGCAACTCTAATAGTAAGCAAAGTATGAAATGAATAGAGTTTTTATAAGGCACCGTATTAATTCGTGGGAAAATGCTGGGTCGTCGGTTAAGTACAAAAATTGTGCTCGTCATGACGACGATTAAACAGAAAAAGTAAACCATGAACCACTCCTTAAATATATTCCGTTTGTTACCTTTCCTTACTGTTAATTATAAGTGATATACTTGTCCGACTTCCCGTTATCAGCACATTGACATTGAGCGATTCATGGTATCAGTTTTGAAGTTAGAATTTGATATTCGAGAATCTAACAGTCAAGCTAGAGTTTAATTAGCATTTGGTTTTTTTATCTCAACTATTCTACACACAATAATCCACCAAAATATAGCTTTTTGCCTCTTTTGCGAGTTCAAATACTACAGTCCTCTTTTCACAATTTATTTATCTGCATAAAAAACATACGGACCATACATTTTAAGGTTTAACTTTTCTGGATTTGATTTCGTACCTTGTCTTAAATATGTGCTAATTTATTTTTGGGCTACGAATGCTCATACATTATTCTAACGCCTCTTAAAGTTCGGTTGACGGTCTCAACCATTAACTATCCATAGTTATAGTATCACTCTTTATTATTTTTATCAAATTGTCCGCTCCGATATTTAATTTAGGCTATTGAGAGTGGACTTCGTTTGAATCAATAACAAGAGGAACTGCTGGAATGCCGCATATGCGGGTAGGCCACGCGCAAGAGTAGGATATAGTAGTGCGCAATGCCTTGTTGCTATGGCGGGAGTCGGGAGGCGATGAAGGCTCTCGTCCGACAACTCCTTTAGTTTAGCAACAGATGCACACGTATGCTACCTGTGTGGGGGAAGGGGACTAGCTAGTTAGGCCGCAGCTGCTACCTCCTTCACCATCATTACTACTGCCATCGCATATTCAGCATAGCGTATCACCAGCCGTTGATGTTGTAGGATTCGTGTGTAATCCTACATAAGTCCAACTCGACCTTCACATCTGCATGCGGCGCCATTGCACCGCAGGCAAGACTGTCCATGTCATGAATTACCCCGTGTAGGCTAAACACCCTTCTTTACTCGATCTTGCTTCACCTAATTATCTTGGTTAATCTAAATATGGGGTGTTAAGCCTTTGACGACTTAGGGAATCATTGCATCTGTCCATACCTCAGCCTTCTGAATTGACCAGGTGAATGAAGGCCCATTTACTGATAGTACAAAGATAATAAGTATGTTCTCTTTCCATATGGAATATCCACTTTAAAAGTCCGTAGTTGTTTGTTGTGGCGGTATTTAAATTTGCTACGTATTTTATCACCGACCTCAAAATCGGTTACAAGTCTCATTTTAAGGCAGCGTTTCATGAACATAAAAGTTAATTTTCAAATTTTTACCAGCGTTCTTGATTTATAGCTTAACATTTTTTGTCAAAATCATCTAGCACATCATATCTTTGCCACTCCAGTGCATTCTTACACGCACGTTTACCTCCTTGTTATTAAGGCCATAAACAGCGGCTGAAGCTTTCTCACCTTCGTTGCCATTAGTTATGCATTTCACCCAACCATTAGATACACAGCTCGATTACCTTCCCTTTAACATGAGCGTGGTTGGGATTGCTTCTATTTCACATAAGCTGTGTTAATTGGATTAAGATATAAAGTTTGTATGCTCTCATCTTTTTTGACACTCGACTGTCCCAGATATTCAAGCATCGATTGCCGGTTGACTTAATTAAACCATTTCCCTGTTTGACACGCACGAACCGCTGTAGCACTATTTTGTTCGCTTTAAGCGTAAAACGAGGAATTTAAACTTTTCAGAGAGATTCACATGAATTGAAAACAAACGCTGTGGATGGGGGAGAAAAACAATATTGGGTCTCCACCCCGCACACATACCACACACACACACACACATGACGCTAGGCTCTCCCCATCTCCCTCTTTGTGGCTGTCTGCGTGTGTGTGCATGCGTGGTGAGGAGATGCATTGAAAGTGATATGTCCAACATTGCTCCAAACAAGCACACACGCACGAGGTTGAGGGTAGGCGTGGACGAGGGGGAGGGCGTGTGTGTATGTGGGAAAAATCTCTTTTGTCTACCCCAGGTACGCGTGTACGGCGGAGAAGTTTGGCATATCAGATAAAGTGTCTCCCCTTTCTCCGTGCACGCTCTTCCACGCGATGTCAGAGTTTGGGGGAGAAGGGAGTGAGGAAGAGGGGAGGGTTTGGTGTTTAGGCGTCGAATTTTAAGTATCCTTTGTATCAGCAACTCCCTTGACTGTCGAGTTGCAGTTTAGCCATGAAATGTGCTGACACTTGGAGGTGCCATGCCCATGTAGGGTCATATCCCTGAATTCCAGTCTATTCCTCCCCCCCCTTACTCGCGTCCACAAGACTATTTTCCAATTACAATTACTTTAGCAACCACCTTCACATCAGCGGTAGAGATCAAAACCATTAATCAGCTGTGACGGATTGGCATTTATTTTAATTAGCACCTACGTAATAGCAACTGGTCTGTTACTTGTGTTACTAACGTCAAGTCTTATAACCTTCGTTAATACGAGATCAGAAAATTTTGTACTTTGTAGGCAGTAGGGACTCAACAAAAAGCTACGTCTTCTTATTTAAATAACAAAGATTAATGATACCTTCGTGTTTTGCGTTATCCAAGAAGTACAATGCTCTTCTATCGACCGCAAGTGGAGAGGTATCGGAAATACCATGCTAATTTCTGTTGATATGTTCATGAAGTGCATCATTTCCCACTACCAATCCTCAATGGTTTTAGTGCTTAAAAGTGGAAGATGTTGGCGCGTTTTAAGATGAATGCACACACAACAGCTTCACTAGATTACTGGCAGATATCTCGAACAGGACCGGCTTTCAGACCTTAGAAAACCAACTTCGGTGGCAAGATTTAACTTCACATAACAACAGCTTTTTTGTAATTGTACAATGTGGCTGACAGCACCAACAATTACTGAAAATGCTCCGTATTGCTTGCACGATTTCGATTGACCGCGTTTGTATAGCGAATTCTTCTAAGGCTCTTTGTAGTTCCTTTATCAAGCATTGGATTACTTTTCAAATACTAGATATCAACCTATGTGGCGATCCTCTTCACCACGAAGTCGTTATTCTACAATAAGACTTGGACACATCGCCTCACCTATAACCCTGACATTGGGACTGCAGAGAGGTGTAATAGTTCTCTCACCTCCCTTACCGACACGTCAGTATAAGTGAAAATGACCTGGTAAACCCATAGTCCATAAAGTGGCACTGGCGATGCGTACAGTCAAATCGAAACTCATGTCACAAAACCGGAGCGGTCTAAATGAAGTGAAAATTAAGCGTATCCTTTTAATTAAAATAAGAAGGCAACTAAATACCTCCTCCCGTTGGAAGCATCCGATCAACATCTTTTTGGCGTTTGCATCATTTAGCCCAATTCCATTTCACCGTTGCGTCAATAATCCATTTGTGATAACCTGCCTTGGAAGTTGGACAAAGAAGAGAGCTTGTGCAGCGAGAGCCTCGAGGATGCTTGAATTTTGCACCCACCCGCCCGCTAACCTGACCCGGATTAGTCACCAGCCCCTATGAGGGGACGGACCAGCCTAACGAACACAAAAGGGGAGGGAGCGGTAAAATGAACGGCAGATTTAATAAAACCAAGGCGGAGATGTTAATAAGAGGATGAATAGAGATGGTAGCCCTCACGTTTGCTGTAATTCGTATATCTAAATGGCCTGACGACATCAAATCACTTGCGACATTGGAGGCATGAAACATTAAATTTTTTTAAATAATCTTTTCTTAAACGAGTGGTTGCGATTATCTCCTTGTCGCGGCATTTGAAGACTTGACAATTTGAAAATGAATATCACATTTGACCACCGACTTTGGTCACATAACAGGCCAAAGTCGGTTTGATGTTTAAGAAAGTTTGAAAGAGCAAAGGTGAAACAAGGCAGTTAACACTTACAGTGCTTATGCTTTGTTATAAAAAAATTCTTCGAGGCGTCTACGCGGGCAAATGTTAGAGGATCCACAGTTATTGCATACAGTTGAATGGATGACTGTTTCAACGCTTGTAACTACTTCCATTTTAGCTAAAATGTTTGAATTACGACCATAACAAGAATAGTTTGAATTGCGACAGTGCGGAGAAACTGTAAGTACTGCCACCAAGAGACCAAAGATTTTCAATTCCAAGTAGTCCTTTGGTCATTAAAAGAGCACTACCACTGGCAGCAAGTGCGAGATCTTATCGTTTAGCCTCGTCATGTCACTGCGCTAGCCTGTCCCTTTATTATTCTATAAATGCAAAACAGCAGAAGCTTTCAACAAATGTCACGGAAAGCTTCTTCAAACAATAATATTCAATAATCGTTATCAACAATTCAGATTATTTATCAGCAACAACCCGATCCGTGAGAGTGCATATTTTAGGCCACCTTTTCTATCCAACTGTGTTATAGAAAGGTAGAATATTCAATTTTCAGTTATTGCTGTTCCTTAACTTGCCTTAAAGTGGTAGATTTGCTAAAAATTTACCTACATAAATCTTAGTTCTACTGGAAGACGCAAACATTCTTTTGTTTTGATGGGACATTGCCCTCTTGTTGAAAATTGCACTTTGAAAGGGGATTGCAAGCGGTGGTCTGAGAGGCCGATTTTTATGCACCTAT